GGGGGGGGGGGGGGGGGCAGGGGGAGAAGAGAGGCAAAGTGTCCTAAGGACCTTTGGAGGTGCTGAAATGATTGGACAATAGAAAATGATCAAATATTTAAAAATTAAGACTGAAAAAGAATGTCCCCCCAGCCTCCCCCCCCCAAGCCAAACAGGTGTGCTTTGAAACTTTAAATATGTTAAATATTAAAATTGTAGCTTTGTTTTTAAAAAACGTCTTGGGAAAAGCAGTTTTTCATATTTTAAATAAAAATCTAACTAGACGGTAACATTTGAAGCTGTGCACAGACGAGAGGTTAATAGGCTGGTACAACACTAATACAGTTCTTAGGTCTATCAAACAGACAAAGGAGCCAAACAGTGCTCTAACTTGTCCTGGGGTCGTCCTGGCAGCTGGGTGTTCTTCATCTCAGTGACTCATCTGCCGACGTTCCCTTCCCTCCTTCCACAGAGCATCAAACTGCCTGGGACTGACTCCCTCACAAAAATATTTTTGATTCTCTCTTTCTTAATAGTTTCTATGTAGTTAATGGAATTGTATTTACAACATTTCTTTTTTAGAATTCACAATTTCAAAAAACCTTATAATATCACCTCTTTCAACAGAAAAAAAGCACTTATAGAAAAGGAGGACACTCAAAACACTGTCGTCCTTACCTTATTGCCGAAAATAGATATACTCAGGTTAACAAAGAGACGTCACAAAAAAGGAACTGCTAGAGAGTCTGTTCATCAGCCTACCACATCTCATTTCTTCTACAACGTAAAGTAGAAAGCTCATGCCCATCTCCCGCCCCGCACTGCACAACTTCGCTTCAGTGTGTGCTAAAGTTCCACCTGAAAGTTCATACGGTCTCAGAACTGGTACCAAAATATTGAGAGTAAAATTACCATCTCAGCATCCTTTAAAAGTGAGAACAGAATCAAAACAAGCAAAAAAAAAATTTTTTTTAAGAAAAAAAATAACTCCTTAATATAACAATTATACTATGGTTAGCTTTGAACTAGATATTAAAGCTATGTGACTACTGGACTAAGTCAAAATCACTACCAAATGTGATTCAAAGAGATTTAAAAGGAGAAGGGGAAGAGAGAAGGGGAAGGGAAACCATCAAGAAAAACAAAACAAAACAAAACCAAAATCATGGGTTATATACACATTTAAAAGCTGTTTTCTTATATTACAGCAGATTCGTGAGATGATGAGATGTAGTCAACCCTCGATCCGAAGTGAGCCATCTCTGGTTGGGATGGGGAGTGAGGCTGGTGGGGGTCCAGGTCTGAGGACATCACCTAAACAAAGGGCCGCTCAGAAACTTCGCCCAGTCTTGCCTGGACATCCAGGTATGCTCTGTAGGGCCGGGAAGGTCAGGTATGACCGGAGGAGAACACAGAGTCGGGGGTGGGAGGAGAAAGAAGAAGTCAGGCCGAGGATACAATTTACTCCAATGTCTTAACTAGAGCTTTCAAAGAAGGATCTCCTCGGACTACTGAATATGTGTGAGCATGGCCTGGCTAACAGCACACTGATCACAGTTTGGGAAACCTGACATCTAAGCCACACCTGATCCCGGGGAGAGGAGAGCGCTACCACTCATTTTGCTGATTTGATACAGTACTGTAGAATTCTTAGGGGAACGGTAGGAAATGCGGTTGCCAGATGTGGTCACACTGGGTTTTGGCTAGACTGGCAAATTGCACAATGGCCAGAGATGCTTTTTTCTGTTTTTAAAGCTAACTTTTTTTTAAAAAACACCCCCTCCCCCCCAAAAAAACCCTTCTCCCTTTATTAGCTATCTGTCAATGACTGAAAAGACAAATCTACACTTAAAAAATCATCTTAAATACCAAGAACCGGAGGTCAAGACACTTAAAAAACAAAATATACAACAAACAACCTGCATTGGTTACAGGAAACAAAAACAGGCCCAGGGCCCGGGATTCACAGACTTGCTAATTTTGTGGATGGCACTAAAAGTCAGAAGGTCACCTCTGTTGGGGACAACGCATGCGTCTGACCAGTCCTCCTTAACTGCTGTGGCGCAGCCATGTGACTCTACTAGCTCACTTAATCCATCCTGGAAGAGGTAGGCTGTGACCTCCGAGCCATGTGACTCTACTAGCTCACTTAATCCATCCTGGAAGAGGTAGGCTGTGACCTCCCCTCTCTCGGTTCCTTAATCTCTCTCTGGAAGTTGAGTCCCACAGCTGGGAGAGGGAGGATGGACTGGGAGCAGCCTTCCCATCCCCACCCACCCTACTGAAAGGCTGCCACAGATTGGAGGGCAAGGAGCAGTGGGCGGGACGCCCTGCACCACCCCTCCTCTTCCAAGAGAGAGATGGAGGGAGGTGGCACTGGCAGCCCCAGCGTCTGGCCTTTCAAGGGTCGCTGTGCCTGGTGGTTGTCTAATCCCCTCTTCATCTGGCTCCACAAAGGGCTGGAGCCATCTTCAATCCCCAGAATTTTTGGCTTTCTCAGTCCTCCTTGCTTTCAGGGAAATCTTACCTCCCCTGGGACCCCAAGCCCAGCTTAATTAGTAGCAAGTAGCTTTCCTTCAAACTGTTAGTGGCCTCTGGCTCCGGCCAGCGCTGGCTGGGTCAGTGCTCAAGGGGAGGTGGAGGCGAGGGGCGGGAGGTTCACACACATGGTTTATTTGGTTAAGAGAGGCAGTTGCGTTAGTTGAGGTGATTTCTTAGCAGCACCATGAGAGAAATCCGGGAGATTTATGGAGCTCAAACTCAAATCTGCTTCTCCAACTGGTCCCAATCTACAGAGTCCTGGCTGACTCCGGGGCCAGGAGCAATCACCCTCTGAGAGAGAGGTGTCCTATTTAATGCAAACCCAAAGTGGCCAGTTCATCTCTAGTCTAGCTTCTCCTGAGTCCCAACTCCAAGAGTTAAAAGCTTTGTGCCCTTGTGGGATTTTCCAAGTGGGACCCATTCCCTGGCCTAAGTTGTCACCCTCTGTTTTCCAAAGAGACAGACCTGTGTTCCATCCCCACACACTAATGTGCTAACACAGTACATGCCTGGTGCTCTCATGAGGACAACCTCTCCCCCTTCTTGGCATTCCTCCCCAGAATGACAGACACTCATCTCCACATGAGATTGTGGCCAGAGGTTTCTTCGCTGCCCCAACCTCCCCTCTCCTCCATGCCACCCCCTCCATAGCCCCACCAAAGTGATTTAAAAATGTTTAATTAACTTGAGCTCAGTTTAAAAGGTTAGGAAACTGGCAGGGATCCAGATCCATGTTACACAGGTGATGCCGTTAATTTAATTTGCTTTTCGTGCGGTAATCTGGATAATTACTCAGTAGTTACTGGCAAAAATGTTTTCTTTTCACTAAAAGATGGAGTCTGGCTGTTTGACTGCACGAACCCCATTGGCTGAGTCCCAGCAAGCCCTGGGGAGCTGGAGGGGCCCAGCAACCCACAAGGTCAGCTCCAAGGACCTTCAGGGGGCTCTGGCCCCCACCCCCCCTTGCTCCCAGGCCTGGCAGAAGCCCGGTGCTTCCCTGCTTCCATCCACGTGGGATGGGCACAGCACAAGATCGCCTTCCAGTTTCCCACACTCTTGATTGTATTTCAAGATAGAAAAAGATGAGGGGTGAGGGAAGATGCAGAAAAGAAATCAGAAGAACCAAATCAAGAAAACAAGAGAGAGAAAGAGTCAAAAAGGTGGGGGTCATGATTCAAAGCTAGAGGAAGGGATGAGAAATCAAAAGATTGGATTTGTTTCTGCCCCCACCCCCCTGAAAAGGGGTCCAGAGAGAGGAGAGAAAGAGATGTTGATGTGATGAGACAAGGGCATGTGCGTACATGTATGACCAGTGCACATTCATGTACGGACACACCGGCAGGGTGGAGACACATGGCAGAGACGGTAATACCTCAGAGTGAGATGGCAACGAAAGCACCTGCTCAATGGTATCCATTTGTAAAGGCCGTTGCAATCAAAGGTCCCTAAAATTGCACAATTGTTAAGGTCATCAGTGCGCTATACATGGGAACAGATTGTCATATTCTGGGAAGGGAAATTATCTCTAGGACTAGTCTGTGGTTGCCAGCATGAATATGTAATTCTGAGACACTGTGCCATGAGGGGCCAGGATAACATCCTCCCCAGTTCCAATCCCTTAGTCCCCGCTCATTCTCCCTGCCCCCCACCCTGTCTGCTTACCAAGGGGGACACCAAGAGCCAGATTCAGAAGGGTGGGTTGGGTGGTGGGAAAGTGGGGTCTCATGCCCAAAATGACAGGCATGGTTGCCCTGAACCCCGGAATGTAAAGATAAGAGTCTCTGTCCACAGTCCCAACGGCTCCAGCTGGGGAGAAGAAATCCCAGTGCAGACAAACTGTGATGCTCTCTGGTTATTTCAGAAAAACATCATCGCACACAGGTCAGAAGACTCAGGTTTTCAAGAACAAATATGGGTCTGTGTTTCTGGATGCTGAATATGGAAATGAGTTGTATTCGAAGTGGTAATAGACGGTCCCCCAAATTGACAGCTCTCAGGTGAATAGTAATATTCTGGATATAGTACTACAGTTGATCTGAGGAGATTAGGCTCATCAAGCTACTGACTTAAGTGTCACTGGCTTGGGAATGGAAATGAACAAGGACCCAGACCGTAGAGGCCAGGGCTGGCAGTCATATGTGAGTGTGTGTGTGGGGGGGAGTGTGTGTGTGTTTGTGGGGAGAGTGTGTGTGTGTGTGTGTGTGTGTGTGTGCAAGGGAGTGTGTATGTGTGTGTTTGTGTGTGTGGGGAGTGTGTGTGTGTAGGGGAGAGTGTGTATGGGGGGAGAGTGTGTGTGTGTTTATGCGTAGGAGAGAGAGAGAGAGTGTGTGTGTGTGTGTGTGTGTGTGTGTGTAGGGGAATGTGTATGTGTGTGTGTGTGTGTATGCAGGAGAGAGTGTGTGTGTAGGGGAGAGTGTGTGTATGTGTAGGGGAGTGTGTGTGTAAGGGAGAGTGTGTGTGCTTATGTGTGGAGGAGTGTGTGTGTGTGTGTGTGTAAGGAAGTATGTGGGGGGGCAGTGTGTGTGTATAGGAGAGAGTATGCGGCGGGGGGAGAGTGTATATGTGTGTAGGAGAGAGAATGTGTGTTTATGTGTAGGGGAGAGAGTATGTGTGTGTGTGTAGGGGAGTGTGTGTGTATGTAGGGGAGAGTGTGTGTATATGTGTAGCGGAGTGTGTGTATAGGAGAGAGAGTGTGTGTGTGTGTCGGGGGGGAAAGAGTATGTGTGTGTAGGGGAGTGTGTGTGTGGGGAAGAGCATGAGTGTAAGGCAGAGTCTGTGTGTGTTTATGTGTAGGGAAGAGAGTGTGTGTAGGGGAGGGTGTGTGTGTGTATATGTGTAGCGGAGTGTGTGTATAGGAGAGAGAGTGTGTGTGTGTGTCGGGGGGGAAAGAGTATGTGTGTGTAGGGGAGTGTGTGTGTGGGGAAGAGCATGAGTGTAAGGCAAAGTCTGTGTGTGTTTATGTGTAGGGAAGAGAGTGTGTGTAGGGGAGGGTGTGTGTGTGTGTGTGTGTGTGTGTAGGGGAGAGTGTGTGTGTGTGTGTGTATAGGGTGTGTGTGTGTGTGTGTGTGTGTGTGTGTGTGTGTGTGTGTGGTGGGGTAGAGGCTTCCAATGGCAGGGGCCAACGAGTGATACCATCCTGGTGCCCAGACTGTCTGTACTTGTTTTGTTCTCCGAAGCATGGCCCTCAAGGCAGGGCTCGTCCACGCTCTCCCGGAAGCAGAGTCGGACAGAAACATGTCTTGGGATTGCAGACTCTCCCATCTCAGCTCAAGACCAAACTGCCTCCAAAATGCTGAGGTTAGCTAGGGCAGAGTTTGGCCAGTTTTTTGTTTCCAAAATGGAAGGGACAGCGAGCAAGTGGGCTCAGGCACATTCATGCTCACACACACCGGGAGGGAGAAGAACAATTCGATCTGAAAACAGCATGCAAATCTGTTAAGCAAATTTCCATTGCCTGGATTAGTCAGATTATAGAACCACAGAGCATTACAAATATCAAATGCATCTGGCCTTCGGGGAAGCTGCGGCTAAAGAACCCAAGTGGAGACTTACGTGGAACCTAGAAACTGTAAGGAACATTGGCAGAGGAAACTGCCTGGGAGAGGGTTCCAACCCCCACCAACTCCCAGGCACCGGAGCTGCCACTGGACATTAGGCCAGGGATCTACTGGCCGAGGCTGCTATCCTGGAAGTGGCGGGTGGGAGGTAGGTTTCCTAGTTCTGAGGTCCCAGCCCATATAACAGTCTACAGAAAGAAGGGATCAAAGAAGGAGGCTGGTACTGAGGACCTACTATGTGCCAGCGCATGACATATACTGCTTCTGCTGATTCTGACACAATCTTTTTTTGTGTGTGTGTGAGTCTGAGTCTCACTCTGTTGCCCAGGCAGGAGTGCAGTGGCATGCTCGTGGCCATTGCAGCCTCAATCTGCTGGGCTCCGGTGATCCTTCTACCTCAGCCTTCCAAGTAGCTGAAACTACAGGAGCGTGCTACCATGCCCAGCTAATTTTTTTAATTATTGTAGAGATGAGGTCTTGCCAAGTTGCTCAGGCGGGTCTCGAACCCTGGGCTCAGGCAATCCTCTTGCCTCTGCATCCCAAAGTGCTGGGATTACAGGCTTGAGCCACCGCAACTGGCCTCTCCCACAATCTTTTGAGGAAGGCACACTTGTTCCAGTTTTGCAGCCAGAGAAGTGAGGTTCAGATAAATGTCGTAAGGGGCTCAAGGCTGCAGGGGCTGAAGGTGACGGTGTGGTGGTGCCTTGAACCTGACCGGCCCATGCTCCTACTCCATCACACGACTACATGGGAGGCACTCAGGACATCTATACACAGAGGCGCTTCAATCCTCAATAGCTGGCGTGACGTTGACAGGGACCCACTGTCCTCTCCTCTGCCCTCCACTCTGGGCTTTCCTGGCATACCCACCGGCCACAAGGAGTTGGTCAGGAAGGAGGAGGCAGGAGGACAGAGGAAGGCAGGTACTTACAGCTATGCCGTGGCCGAAGCCCGAGCCCGGCTGTGGGCTGGCTGCACTTATGTAATTCCCCACTCCGGAGTCCTGGCTGGCAGGGCCGTAGAGATCGGCGACAGGTCCTGGGCTGTTGGCCCCCGGGAAGCCTCCGGGCCGCGCGGGGTTGGAGCCTGCCGGGGAAGCGGGCGCGCCAAAATTCGGTTGAGCACTGTAGCTATTCAGGACTGGTGTGCAGAGAATAGAGCTGGGTATGAGGCCAGAAGCCAGGCATGCACCGGTCATTACAAGCCAAACACTCGAGAAAAACAGCTGAGGCCCAACTTCTAACACTCAACCAAGGCCATGCGAAAACATCAGCAGGGACTCAAGAATACTCAGCCCAGGCTACTACTAAGAAGCTTGGAGCTCCAAAAATATAGAGAATAAAAAACAATCATTCAACACACTACGGCAACCAACCGGAGGTGCTTCACTGCCCACCAAATTATCACAATAGAAATAGAGATATATATGGAAGAGAGAGAGAAAGAGAGAGAGAGATTTTTTTTTTCACATCTGAATTGATGCTCATGCAGTCTTCTAGATCTGGGCACGTTGAGACAGCATTCACATCCCATGCAAACTACAAAGGAACTAGTTTTAGACTACACATTGTGTTAATATTGATATTAAAACGTGACAGGAAACAAAGCAATTTGTGTCCAGGAAAAAAATAATCTTTGCGGAGGGGATTTTTGATCTTTTTTTTAGTGTGTGTGTTTCACTTTTTGGATCCATTAAATGACAAATTTGGTTTTTTTGTTTTTTTTTGTTTTTAAAAAAAGACAAAAAACGATCTCCATTCTCCATCCCCCCCCAACCACCACCCCCTCCCTGCTGGCTACACCCTCCCTCCCCACCCCTCCATTTATAGCCCTGCATGAAAGTCATCAATACTGAACGTGGTCGGAGGATGGGATATGTCATGGAAAGTTTGGGCATCTTGACATAACAGTAATGATGGCGGCAGAGGGTTCCCTTTTGGGGTGGAGAGCAGGGGATGGAGGGAGGGGATGGGGGGGAATGGAAAACCTGGAGGCTGGGGCCAAAGCTGGGGTGGAAGCCAATGGTTCTACAGGACACCCACACACTCACCTCCTGCAGGAGAAGGAAAGGGGGGATTTAAACTTTTTTTCCTTTTGTTTAAAAAAAAGACAAAGAAGTATGAATGCAGAGCATACTGACTGAACCAATTTATAGCTAAATCAAATCTGATTGAAACGCCTGTTTTCTGTTCATTACCCTTCGATATAAACTCCAGGCTGAGCAGAGAGAACTCAGAATGCACCTTTGCCACAGAGAGGGGACTTGACACCCACAAATCCAGAGAGTGTTGGGGTTGCAGATGGGGTACACAGCAGAAAGCGATACCTACTCAGGCCCCCAATCCCATCATTCCCACCCTAAGGAGGGCCACAACCTGTCAACCAGGTTAATCATGTCTCACACCTTTATTTTCCCTTAGCAGCTTAAACGTTATTTTCTTTTCCAAACTGGAAAAAGCATTTTTAAAAATTTTAAAAGTAAGTTCTCATTGATTTTTAAACTTCAAGGGGAGTCTGCAAACCTGTCTTGAAGAACCAGACAGTCTGAGCACCACACACACCACATCTTCAGCCCCAGGGGGCTACTCCTCCCAACAATCACTTCTCCCTCCTGCCTCCCCTGGTCTCTCCCCTTCTGCCCTGTGACCAGCTGTCTTCAAAGGCAGAGGGAAAGAACATCCACGCAGAGTGGAGTCACTCTTGGCTTTGGCCTTGCCCTCGGCCTTGCCCAGGGGCCTGTGGTTTGAGGCCCTCACTTCTGCTGGGGCTAGAAGAGCCATAAGCGGATTGATTTTCACCTGCTTTTCACAGGGATGAGAAGAGACTGATGATATGCCCAAGCCAGGCTGGCAGGACATTGAGACTGGACACCAAGACACAAAGGAGACCAAGTCAAGCTGGGCCTGGCTCCTGACTCAGCGGAGAAAATGAAAACCGCTGCCTCCAGATGCCCTTGGGGCACGTAACCCGAAGATGAGCCCCTTTGAAGCTGTAGCTGAGAAATGAATAAACTGGCCAATGGAAAGAGCAGGTTAAAGAGAAAAAGAGGCAAAAAAAATTACAGATGCTTAGAGCAAGTGAAAGGCTTATTTGGGAATGCGCTGGCAGACAAAGGGGATGGGGATTTTTGAATACAGAAGATTAAACTTGCAGATAACATTTGGCCCTTCTCACTCATGGAGGCAAATATCAAGCCGAGATATTCGAAAGGCGGTATTATCTTAGTCTAACACACTTTTTTCTTCTGGGCTCAGGAAGATGGAAGGAGCTCAGACAGCAGACTCCTGGTTTACCCAGGCAGTTGAAACCCCTCCCTGTACAAAGGAACTGATGAGCAGACTCTGTTTTAGGGCAAGAGGGTGGGATGGGGATAAGGAGGAGCAGCAGAAGGTAGAGAAAAGGATTTTTTAGCTCCTTTCTCATCTGACCAGATGCGGACCCAGGAAGATGTTGGGCAGGCCCACCTACCTAGGGGATGTGGAGAAGGCAGGTGTTAGGTCTTGGCTCCTTCCAGCAGGGAGAGCCATCTAGAGACTGATCTAGCTAGCAGAAGCAGCCCCGGGGATGTAGCAAGCATGCCCATGCTGGATGCTGGCCAGAAATGTCCCCCCATGTCCCATGCAGGCTTAGAAGACAAGAGGGCTGTGGGTATGATGCCCATCCCTGGCAATCTCTCACTCCCTGTGTGCAAGGAGGCTGTGGCTTCAGAGTCAGCTTGAAGGGAATTTCACAAAAAGCAGCTCATCTTAGGCCTGTACCACCTCTCCTTGCTCAGTCATCTTCCATCAAATGACACTCAAATCACCGTGGAGAAGACGCTATAAGAATGCAGCTTTAAAACCCCCAAGTCCCATCTTATTATGCACTTGCTTGTCACCATGCCGGAGCCCCGGTTCAAAGTCACCTTGCAAATATCCCCCAGCCAGGGGCGAAAGTCTGGGCTGCCAGGCTCCCACTAGAGGGCGCAGCTGGCAGGCAATAAGCACCCAGTTCTGAGCTGGTCCAGCTTTCCTAGGTTTCAGGGCATTGGAACCTGCCCCCTTGAGAGTTGAGCGCCTGGAAGAGGGATGCCTCTCTATCCTCCACAGTCAACACTTCTGTCTCTCTCAATGGGCTGAAGACCCCGACTCCAGAAAGCACACCAAAGTCCCCGAACAAGCCATCTGGAAACCCATGCGTCGTTGGGAAGACTCATAAAAAGCAATAGCTTTGGCTGCTTAGGGGAGAATGGGGACTGCCACTTGGCACATAAACTTGTCAGTCGCTGTTCCTGCTGCCTGACAGTGGGAAGGCATTAGGGACAAAGTAATTTTCTTCTTTCGCAAAGTCAGCGTAACTCCACACACTGAAAACTCTGGCTGGCTGCACAGTGAAGGGGGTCATTTGAGAACCCCCCTCCCTCTCAGCTGTGATCTTGAGAGGAGAGGTGAGGGGTGGAGAGCACGAAGCCAAGTTCCTGACCCGAGGGTGCTTTCTGTAGAGTCGCTCTCCAGTCAGCTCTCAATTATCTATCTCAAATGGAGGGTGCCCTTCCCCAGGCACCGAAAATCATGTGGAGGGGCCAGAAATGGTCCCACACAGCAGGGTCGGCTCAGGAAGAGGGGGATGGGACTTTGCTCTTAATAAGCAAGGGCACCTTGTCTACTGCTAAGCTAGGGTGTGTGTGTCTAGGGAGGGAGTAAATATTGTTGAGTAAATAAACGGTGCTAAGATTTATAAATTGGATATTATGGCTTCTGTCCCAGAAGAAGACAGTGTCTTGCAAACTTTGGCATTCTTGCAGCAGAAACTACGAGCATTTAGTGGTTTGGGACAAGCCCTGCTGCAGGCTGGCAGCTTGGGAGCTCATTGTGGGGTGGGTGCAGGCTCACTACTCCATCAGTGGCTCTGGGCAGTGGCCACAGTAACAGTTTAATCCTGGGTAGGTTTCTCTCACCCCAGGCCCCCAGCATCCTCTGGGCTTTCCCAATCCAGCTGGCACCCTTGGAGAGGCAGGGAGAAAGGGAGCACTGGACTTGGAGTCAGAAGACCTGAGTGTCACCCCGGTCCTGCCCACATAGCTGTGTGCATTGGGCTAAGCCCTGCACAAACCCAGGTCCTCCTCTGTAACATGTGAGGGATGCCTTCCATCTGGGCTATAGGGGGATGGAAAAGAGAAGGCACTCAGTAACTTGTCAAGTTTAGAACAAACACACACCTATTTCTGAAACAGTTGTGTATGCAGGACCCAACAAGACAGGTACCATAAGCAGATTTAGGAATATCTGATAATATGAAAATGCAATTCACTTGTCCTACAAATCAAGAGGTGATTTACAGAAGGACCCAATTTATCCAGTTGGTGCATTTAATCATCTTGGACCTGAAGAAAGGACTCCTGGGAATGGTGGACAGGAAAGCAAGGACACTAAATCTCACTGAGGATGGCAAGAGGAAATGCATCTGAATGAGAGCTGAAGCTATTTTACATTGGATAAAAGGAGGAACTTCCTGTCCATCAATAAAACACCCTGTTAGCTGACCTAGGAAAACCCGAGAATCATATCCTGGAGACCATAAAACAGATGGGCGCTGCAGGCTTAGGCCCTAACCTGCAGAAGGTGGACCCAAATCTCCTGGGCACCTGCCCCTCCGGGTTCTACAGCAAGGTGCGAAGATGCCTGCTGTCTGGCTGGCACATTGTCTGCATGTGGCTCTGCTCAACTGGAGTCAGAAGGGGCTGGGCCGAGAGTGGAGTTTGGCATGGGGAGGTGGGGAAGTGGTCGAAATCAGAACAGCTCCACTGAGGTCTAGGAAAGGTGCGGAAGTCTAAATATTTCTGTACTGTTCCTAACTAATGCCACTGGACCAGAGGCAAAAAGCCAGAGCCCAGGACTATGAAGGAAGCACCCCTTGGAGGACACCTCTGGCTTTGAGGTCTGAAAATTAGCTTATTACTGATCCAGAGAAAGGAACTGTTTACAAAATCCTTTCCAGATGAGTTCAGCCCACATATCTGGGGCAAGCCAGGGGCCTACTGAGTTTCTGGTTTGGTGGGTTTCACATTTCCCCAAAGGGCAGGGCCAGCCCTCAAGACAATTTCAATCATCTGCTTTGTGAATTACCTGCTGCTGCTGCCAGTTTCATTTCAGGCAAGAGAC